CTTCCATAAGCTTTATGGCAAAAATTTATCACTATAGCCTAAACAGCAACATATATTTGTATAATGCAATCCACCATGCAGTTAATGATTGTGGAACGTAAACAAATGGGAACTGAGATGGGCTTAGTATGGGGGCCATTAATTAAATCAGTATCGCTGAAGGGTTATAGACTTTCAGAAACATGACTGTCTTAAAGGTTAGTTGTGAAGGTTTTGGTAAAGGAATTATATGCCATCATTAAAGTCAATAAGCCTTGAGCAGTTTTATGCAGTGATTGCTAACAGTTATTTTGAAAATTTGATTATTTACAACCCTAAGCAGGGCTACCATTTTGGAATCAAAGCCGTGAACATAGAGGATATCTCTGAGAAAGATGATTTAACACAGGTGTTCAAATTATGAAGAATTTTGCTACTGCAGATAGGGAGAATTTGCTTCTGGTGGCAGGAAAGTTGATAACCAGAGAATACAGACTGAAAATAATTTTTAAGATAACGTTTGCCATGGCATGAAGAGAGCATGCGCTCACCTTTTTTAGAAGGTGCATCAATATTCAAAGAGGATTTGCAAACAGTTGCAATTAAGTTTTCACAGTGCAGCAGATCTGTTGCCTCCCCTAACGCTGGTTTAATCATAGGAGATATGTAATCAGAATGAGGAGAGGACAGAAGACTGAGAAGTGTTCAAATGCCTTTTGATGCCATGACATTTAACTGTGCTGCTTGATTTTGGTTAGAAGCAAGGGTTGGATAGCGGGGATATAGGAATCAATGCACAAATAGTTTGCATTTTCATTCATTCCCTTTGGAGATTAGGGAATGTTTATGCAAGGTCACGTAGATCTGCAAAAAATTGAGCTAGTTGAGCTGCCTGGCTAAGCTATCCTTAACATTGTGTTTGTTTCCTGTAGTATAACAGGATACTGTCCTTTCCATCCACCAGACAATCCCTCTATAAAACAACCATGGTTACATGCTGTCAGTCAGAGTTGGTCAGGGTACAAACCTTCAATGCCCTCAACAAGAGTGGACGTGAGTGGCAACTTGAGACCTGTGTGAAGCAGTTGTCACCTTGATCATATGTGGTGAAAATGAATGACCAGACATACTGTGACAACTGCAGACACGTACGTCCAACTGGAGAAGTTGTTTCTGAATATCAGGCAGTTGATCAAGAAGATGTGAACTAAGTCTATGATTATGAATCTATAACCATCATTGTATTGAGCACAGATCAACCATCCAAAACATCCAGCACGGTGGCATAGTGGTTAGCACTGCTGCCTCACAGCGCCAGGAGCCCTGGTTCAATTCCACCCTCAGGTAACTGTCTGTGTGGAGTTTGCACATTATCCCCGTGTCTGCGTGGGTTTCCTCCAGGTACTCTGGTTTCCTCCCACAGTCCAAAAATGTGCAGTCTAGGTGGATTGGCCATCTAAATTGTCCATAGTGCTTGGGGATATGTAGCTTAGGTGGGTTATAGGTGGATGGGTCTGGGTGGGACGCTCTAAGGGTTGGTGTGGACTTGTTGGGCCGAAGGGCCTGTTTCCATACTGTAGGGATTCTATGATTCTATGAACTCAGAAATGGAATTGGAACAACAGGTACTGTGGAAACAATAAATGATACAGTAACGACATTTCCTTGGAAGGAGCATCCCCCAGAGGAACAGCCATTGACACTGTGTGTAATTATCAATAAACATTAGCATGACTTGAAGGCTATGCGGGCAATTCAGAAACGAGGATAATGAATTGCTGATAGATGAGAACAGTTGTGTCTATCAAGCTAATGTACGTAACTCATATCATAAGTCTTTTTTGTTTGTTATTTGTTGGAAAGGGGCAGTGTTTGTGATAGAAATGCAATACTGTACTAATGAGCTTCTTGGTTCTGAGCATCTGACCTCACCCATGAGGCGCTGACGAGGGCTATAAGTCACGCCTCACTGGGTAGCATTCTGAAAAATCAAGCTGCACTATTCTCTGAGTCATCACTAAAGTTAAAGATTTTAAAAAGTTTGCACAATTTCCCAATTTGTCCATATTTTGGATGCAGGTTGATAGAAAGCATGAACCAAGCTTCTGTACTCCACGTGAATTACAATTTATTACAATAAGTAGATTTGAGCTATATGCTAATGATTATGAACCATCTGCATATAGCTCTTCTAATTAAAACTTGAACCACCTTTAGAACTCCCCATCGCACACACATACAGACACAGATGGGGGAGAAAAAGCATGGTTGTTACAGGGGGAGTGAAAGATTGGGAAATCAGTTCAGTGGCCTCTGTTCACAGGATATGCTGAGGTGATTCATGTATTGATCAGAATACAGTTTCTCAATCTTCCATCTCCGGATGCTTTCACACAGGATAAAGGGGAGGCAATGGCCTAGTGGTATTATCGCTGGACTGTTAAGCCAGAGACCCAGATAACATTCTGGGGAGATAGTAAGAACTGCCGATGCTGGAGTCAGAGATAACACAGTGTGGAGCTGGAGGAACACAGCAGGCCAAGCAGCATCATAGGAGCAGAAAGGCTGACGTTTCGGGCCTAGCCT